GCCCGCCGCGCTGCGCTTCTCGCGTCGTCCGCCGCGGGGCGCTCGACTCCGCAGAAACGGCTTGCGGGTCGTCTGGCGGCAACGCCGCCTCTTTCCGAGCTTTGATGAGGAATAAAGTCACGCTGACGAGCGTCGAAAAACAAAAAAAAAGGACTCTTGGATCCTGCAAAAGTTGCGCAGCTGTAAATAAGACGACAGCAAGTCCCCTCTCCAAATTGCGCAGATCAATCGCATCCGTAAATCCGCCAAATGTTTCACTGTTTAAAATGAGGCGACCGTAAATCCTCCGAAGGCTAGCGACAGCTTTTTTGTTTTTATAAGGCAACATTGCACAAAAGATCCACGTCGTCACTCGAAGAGCACAACCCTCAAAATAGCGTCGGCTCAATAACTGTCAGAATAGTCCCCCCGAAACAGCTCAAAGTAGAAAATAGGTGTGAGTCCGCCTGGACTCGGATCTTTCCCCGTTCCGTCTGCGGCGGACGGTCTGGCCGGCAGGTGAACGGAACTCATTGATGACTGACACACACACACACACACACACACACACACACACACACACACACACATGCGTGCGGGCGCCGACTGAGGCATTTGAAGCCACGCTATCGCTCAAGTCAATTTCCAACACAGAGAGTAAAAGCGTGACACGATGCCGAGAACAGTGGCATGGGGGCGAGAGTGGAAAGAAGTGCACTCTGAGTGTGAGTGTGCGCGCGCATGTGCGTTTGTGTGGCAGGGGTATGTTTCAGGGTGCGTGCTCTGTTTGTTTTTGGAAGCGAGCTTGTGTGTGAGAGTGAGGATGCCTTGAAGGGAGATGCATGTGGGCCAATGTGCGCGTGCGTGCCTGCGTGCGTGCGCCCTTCTCACGGCGGCGGCACCTGACAGCTCGCGTGAGAACGCGTTCCCCCCGACGCCCCCCTCCCCACACCTCGGACTCCATCGAACAGAGCTAATGCACTCCAGCTCTCCGCGCGGCCCCCGGGGCCAGGCCGTGCGTGCGTGCGCGTTTGTGTCTTTGTGTGAGACTCACTCGTACAGTATATCACGCACCTCGAAATGGCGCGGAGGCCACACGGCGCTCCGCCGCCCTTGCGTCTCCTCCCAGCCCGTACTTCCCATCCGCTCTGTAAACAAATGGCGCGCTGCTGCCTCCCGTCCTCGCGTTTGCGGCTGCGGCAGAGCGCTTGCAACCGATCACACTCGACTGCTTTGACCGTCTTTCCTGTCATATGGCGGATTTGGAAGCCATTGCTTTTTTATGACTGAAAAACATTTCAAACCAGTGCAAACATCTGTTCGTGATCAAGTTCAAATTTTAAAAGGAAAAAAACGCCCACTGGAACAGCTGAACTTTATTTGGGGTCAATCAGAAGCCCTTCAACCGGTGGCAGGTGTGTGTTGAACGTTTCATTTCATTGCATTTCCCAACGCAGCCACATCCTCTTAGTGTAAAATTGTGTGCACAAACACATGATCTGATTTGTTTTTGCTGCCCCCCCACCTCCTTTTAAGAAGATTTGTCCTTGTCGATGGAGTTGTACAGGTTAGAAGTCACACGTCGGGGAAACGGGTTTTTTTTTTCTTTTTTCTTTTTTTTAAATCGCACAAAAACCTTTCAATGGGGCTGTGTCGAATTTGTTTATGCGCTGTGTTGTGTGGCACACGTTGCGTGTTTCCGTATCATTGATGTTGTTTTGCATTCAGTGTTAGCTTGAGCCTAGCACACTTTCATCAGACCAAATTGACGAACAGCGGTGCACGTATTTCCGGTCATATTCTATCAACCAAGAGTTATTTAATGTGACAATTTAGTTTTGTCTCCCCCCGCCCCCTCCCATTACAACAAATTTTAATTGTTCATCCTATTTTTTTTTTTGAATAAATATATTTGACTTCTTGGGGATTGTGCAGGTTCACAATGAGTTTGTGAGGAACGTGGAGAACACCTCAGCGGAGAGCTTGATACAGAAACTGGCCGAAAGCAAAGGAACGGGCAAGGAGAGACCAGGTAAGCCTTTTTTTTGGGAGGGGCGGGGGGCAGGATTATTTCTAGGAGTCCAAATACAAAATGAGCGTAGTCACAAGGGGCGACCGAATGTCAGCCACAACTCACGCCAAAATACAAGTTTGCTTGACTGTGTTTCGATACAAACTGCTGTTTTTCTAGATTAAAAACCCACAGCAAAAATTTCAGGGTTTTTTTTTTTTTTTTTTTTTTTTTTTGGTGGTGGCGAGCTGAAACTGGTTCATGGCATTTCGGTTCATTTCAATGGCGCTCGTCGATTTTGTTGACCGGCCGCAGTACGAATTCAACTTGTAAGTGAAGGTACCTCGCGAGCGATCCTAGCCAACAGATGCTGCGCTGTGCTTCTGGTGCCCGATTCTTGTGGTTCCATTCAAAATAACACAGTAGAGTGAACTGCACGCGGAGCCCGAAAAGCTGATCCAGCCTGTGTGCGGTGACAAGTCACCAACTGTTGATTTCGTTCTTGTTCTTCATTTTGACAACGCTGCTCTTAAGTGGCGTTGGCCCGCGTCGTTCAGTGCGCGCTGAGCCAAATGCTTTCGGAATGCGGCAGAACACCGGGGCGCCTGGAGAAAATCCGCACTCGCCTGAGGAAAGCATGCGAACAAAGCCAGCATCGGAACTCCAAAGGAAAGCGGCGAGGCGGACGCGCTCAAATAATAAGAATAATAAAACCAGGTCGCTTGTGTGTCAACAAAGGCGCTCGCGTGGGTGGCGGCGGCAAGCGGGGCAATCAGACCGGTGCCGAGCGGCCATCGCGGTCGATCGTGGTAAGCTGCCGTCAAGGTAGGCGGGCTCGGCATTCCGGTCAGCGTGCGTCACATGGGGGGGCTTTGACTTAAGCGGGCACCGGCGAGCTTTTCGACCGGGTCAAAGCTCAACAATGACTCTTGTGTAAACTTTGCCCACGAGAGCCCGGCCGCCCCCGCATATCGCCCACTTTCATCCCGCTATTTATTGAAGGCACACCGGAATGCTCATCGTCTCCCCCCCCACCCCCCCAGCCCCAGCATGCCATGCGTGTGAATATTTCAAGCCTCCGGGGGCCGTGACGTCTACGCCCCCTCGCCGCCCCGTCCTCCTGCTCGTCTCCACTCATGCGCAACATTACGTCAGGCAAGCGGGCGGCTCACCTCGGCGCTGAGTGTGTGTGTGTGTGTGTGTGTGTGTGTGTGTGTGTGTGTGTGTGTGTGTGTGTGTGTGTGTAAACAATGCATGAAAACCGGCCCTTGTCCAGCCGCCGCGCCAAGGCGAGCTCCGGCCCTCATTTGTTTGGACAGCAGAATTAATTGAGGCTTTAAAAAGGGAAAAACCCCAAATCTTGCCCGCACGGAGACGTTCATTAGCGCTTTGGCGGCAGCCATCAGAAATATCGGATGAAATGACCTTTTTCCAGCAGCCCGAATTGCCTCATTTCATTTTGAAAACGGCAAAAATAAAAAGGGACTCGAGGACGCTTTGCGAATGAACCTGTAGATGAGGTCCAAATGTATTTGAACTGAGCTGAATTGAACATTTCTCAGGCATATTTAGAACTTCATGACCATGAATGAATGAACTCCCCGAACAGTATCAAACGTGTATGTGAAGCTTTTTGTGATCATCTTGGTCAACTAACCGAAGGATACATTGGAATGAACCCATTGTCGGGGAAAAACAGCTCATGGAATTCAATATTTGCCCCCCGTCTTGGCTTTAGTGAGCGAGCCAGCGAGGTTGAATAAACTTTTTATTGCGAAAACGATCCCGAAGCGACATGCTTAGAGGAGCGAAGGGGGGCAGGGGAGGGGCGACGGGGGTGCGTTCGGAGTGTTCGACGATATCCAGCTGAGCTGTCAACTGGCGGCGGGCCAGACACGCAAACTCTGCCCGCCTCGCCACCCCCTTTT